TTCCCTTAATCATTCATCATCACAATGAGTAAAAACCAAGAATATAATTCTGCAACCTGATGTGCATTAAAAGATTGTTGAGCTTCACAAAATAGAAAGTGCCTGTAAGAAAATAGCTAAAGCATTAGAAATACCCATTTCTACCATGAGGGCAATAATTAAAAAGTTCCAATCAACTAAAGATGTTACAAATCTGCCTGGAAGAGGACATGTATCTATATCATCCTAATGCAGGGTGAGGAGGAAAGTTTGTGTGTCTAAAGACTCTCCAAGGATCACAGCTGGAGAGTTGCTGAGATTAGTTGAGTCTTGGGATAAGAAAACCTTAAAATAAAATTTATAAAACAACCCCTACATCACCACATGTTGTTTGGGAGCGTTTCAAGAAAAATCCTCCTCGCTCATCCAAAAACAAACTCCAGCAAATTCAGTTGTCAGACACGACTGGAACTTCAAAAGGGACCTGATTCTATGGTCAAACTTTAAAAAAAGAGCTTTTTTAAAGAAAACCCACTAGATGGTAGATAGGTGCAAACGGGAATAAAAAGTGGCCCATGTCCATGGTTAAGTATACTGCTAGATCTTTAATGTTGTGAGCCTATTTTTTTTGCTGGAGGTCCCAGAGGTATCATGGATTTTAGCAAATACCAACAGATAAAAAAATCCAAACATGATGGCTTCTGCTGGAAATATTTTAATGGGCCATGGGCCATGGTTGTATCTTCTATCAAGACATCAAAATCAACACACAAATGTGTCACTGAGCAAAAAATGTAAGCTTCTGCCATGGCTGTTCCAGTTTCCTGACCTGAACCCTGCAGAAAGCGAGTGGGGTGAACTGAAGTAAGAAGCACCAACATGGAGCTGGGAATCTGAAGGATCTGGAGAGATTCTTTATGAAGGAATGGTCTCTGATCTCTTGTCAGGTGTTCTTCAAACTCAGCAGGCATTATAGAAGAATACTCAGAGCTAATTGGGTGCCAATAATTGTAATAATTGTGGCCAATGTGAACTAGAGAAAAACATTTAACCCACTCTCAATTGTTTTACTTTAATTAGAATTTTGTTAATTTTGTTAAATTAAAGATCAAAAGGATAAACAATGCAGATTTATTTTCACAGCTGCCTTTGCTCAAATTTACCAAGGGTGCACATATTAGTGGAGGGTTGTTAAGGTCTTCATGCAGAGGCATGATCCTGTCATGACATCTCAGTGTCTGAAGCGCTCCTCCAGAGGGTCCCTGTAGCGCTCCTTCTCTGCGCTCAGGAAGCCATAATACAGGACCTTATACGCAGGCAACATTCTCTTTGTTGCAATGCTCACATCATATGCAGAGAGCCAGCGATGGGGCACAAACCTCAGAGGATTGGAAGCAGGGATGTGCATAATGACACACTTCCTTGAGGTACATCACCTAACAAAGTTAAAAAACAAAACTTGTAGCAACAACAAAAGTGATGATAGTGTATTCATGTATTTATATAGAGTTATCAAAAGTTAACAAGTAACAAATTAGATGTGTACATGTTGTAACGACTGAGACAAATCAGACACAATTATTTGTTATATAAATAATCTTTAAAACTCACTCTGGGATCTATGGTCCCATCCCCCCCAACAAGGGCAACAAGGGTCTTGGTTTCCATGACTATGGAATCAGATGAGTTGGTTTTATTGCTGTTAAAAATGTGGTCATGTGGTCAAGGCAGAGGCCATAGAAGAGACAGAAACAGACTGATCTGAAACAGATTAATCTGCATTAATCATAGACGAACTGATCTATAAATGAACATACATCCCAGAACATTGTGTGAATGATTTACTGTCTTGTGTAGTGTCTTTTAATTCTATTATTTTATTTTTGATACTGTGTATTTTATGATAGAACCAACGGTCAATTTAACCTCACCTATACCATGTTTGGTCTCTATAAATTGGTACTTTGAAGATCAAAATTATTGTGTACATGATATGTCGATAGCTGCGCATGCGCAACATATTAGTATTACAAGAATCTTTCTTAGTTTCTTCATCAGAAACCAATCCAGCTGCACATGCAAATGAGCACGCTTAAAACAAAGATTCATAAATCAACCACAGAGGAATTTTCCCGCTTGGAAATTCCACCCTTCTCATTGGTCAAGCAACCCGGAGAGGTGGGGCCTTTCTCAGGCTTTATCAGAGACAAATTCACAGTGACTCTCTCTCTCTTGCTTCTGGCCTTCACTGCTGCTTCTTCAGGTTGATGTCTGTGGGGCAGGCTGGCCTTCACTCTCCAAACAGAGTCAGACTGTATTTTCTTTAATCCAACTCAGAGGAAAACTGCAACTTTTCCATTACTGAATGGGCAGCCATCTTCTCTTCCGACTTACTCCTTGGTTGCCTGCGTGGCCTCTCCGGCCCAGGGCCGGCAGTCACAATCTGCATGTGCTCAGCCATGTGCTCATGGAGAGAGAGAAAACCTTCAACCAGAACAGAGTCGAACTAACCATGCAAGTTCATCATATCTTCTTCATCCAACGGAGAAGAAAACGATTGCAACTTCAATGTTTGACACTCAAAGGAAACATCAACATCCTTTTCCAAGATCTTCAAGAAATGCAAATGCCATGCAAGTATATACATTTAATGAGGTACTCTGAAAATAATAAGCTGATGGTTCTTTTCATAGTTAAATGGGTCTTTCCCACAGTTCCATTTCCTGCTTCCTATTCCATTCTATCACTCACCCTTTTACCCATGCATATGTGTATGTGTTTAGATTTTGTGATTTAGTTAATAAAACTTGTGCACAATACGTATTTGGTTCTGATTCTCTGCTTGCAACAAAGTTTACTTTACGATTTAGATTTTGACTACGGGCTCTTAGTACTGTACAGTAAGAAAGACATTTCCCTTCCCCGGAAATGAATATTTCTTAGAATTAATAAACAATTAACGCTGAGTGTTCACGGGGCGAACAGGTGGGTTGATTGTAATATTAATTTTACTACATTAAGTTAATTATATTAACTGATCCAAATATTCATAATCAATTATAACCAGTTATTATTGATTATTAATATTTCATAGAGCTAATTCGTTACAATGTCAATGCATTTTTTACCTGATCTGGAGACCACTGATGATCTGTGTGCAGATCTGCAAAAAGCTGTTCAAGAAAGTGGCTCTGCAATTTTTTTTCCCCTGCATTGTGTATGTGATAGCAGGAGTCTCCAATGTCCAGCAGTATTAGGCAGTGTGCTGCAAATCCTGGTCTCGAGACCGGTCTTGCTTCCTCTCATAACCTTGCACATCATAAGGCTCACCAGATTTCCCCCATGGTATTTCATGCTGCGTGAATAAGTTATAGTGACTTCTCCAAGCTGGCAGCATTCACCTTCTGGACTTCGAAGGACCCCAGGTGCTCTACCACCACCTTCTTTGCATCTTCATGGTGCTAGCTAACCAACATTTGCCAGCACTTTTTTTGTTGCTGTTGCATGTGCTTTCATCCACAGTGAGGGAAATAAAAAAAACGTCCTTTTGGAAAAAGTACACCCCAAACCATTCACCAACTTGTAGGAGGCTGTGGTGTGTGATAGCTTAATTTGTCACAAGGCCATATTATCAAGCGCAAGACTCTGGGCCAATTCAACTATCACTGGAGCAATAGATATGGGAAGGGAATGTTCAGCGATTACACCAAGTACCATAGCCTAAAAGATAAATAATATAGTACATACCTAAACACAATTTAATAGTCCGGGGTACATTACAGATTTCCTTCATGTAATTAACAGGTGTCTATTTCATAAGCCTACACTAACACAACTAGCCTACCTCTGCATTAGCTATGCGATCTGATGTGCATATTTAAAACTTTATAAAGTAAAATAACTAGCTTCCGGCCAAACAAACATATGGATTCCACTTACGCCTAAAGCGTAACTTGCACAACTTGTGACGTCGGAAGTAGCGTACTGTGTCATGGCGTAGCGTAAATATCTGCACTACGTCGCATTACTCACATAAGTTGTGCTTTACACTTAACCGTATGTTTGTTTGGTCGGAAGCTAGTTATTTTACTTTATTTAAATATGGATATTTTTTCACAAACTTACACAAACGCATCGCCTCGCTTCAGAAGGCCTTTATTAACCACGTTTATTGACTTCAAAACAGAAACGGCCATTCACTGCCATTATGAAGCTTGGAAGAGCCAGGACATTTTTTTTATATAACTCCGATTGTATTCATCTGAAAGAAGAATGTCATACACCTGACTTGAGGGTGAGTAAATCATGGGCTAATTTTCATTTTTGGGTGTAAGGTTTTATTCCTTTATCTGATCGATTTTTGAAGGCAGCATAAATGTATCTTTCGCTGCCTTTGATATCTCACAATCCTGTGCTTTCCATTCTGTGACAGTTGAGTTAAAATAAATAAAGATTGCTTCTGAAATTTGCTGTAAGTGGTCAGTTTGTGTGTAGATGTATTTTATTTTTTTTACCAACGTTTTCCTCTTCTGATATGTCATTTAGTGAGAACTATTGTAGTAATTTGTTGTAATTAATTGTAATAGTAATTAAAAAAATTATTAAGAAACACAAGATTTTCTGTGTATCCTTGGTCCCTTTACCATGAGGATGCATTTTCCAACAGGGTGCATAAAGCTGCAAAGTTGAAGTATAGCTCTGCCTCTGACATCATTAAAGGCATGGACTGCCAAAGAGGTGGTGCAAACCTAGGCTAATAGAATTCACCTCAACAAGTTATTTTGAGATTACAAGGGCACAGATAAACCATTTATAATAAACACTGCAATATTCCATTAAAAAAAAAAATACAAGAATTGTCCATTTTGATATCATGGTGACTTTACCAGGCAAGTGCAACGGCGTTCCAGACTCCTATCCAGTTGGTGGCGGTAATGCACCTAAGCTGCTTTGCCAACCGCCATTAAAACTTAGAAGAAGAAGAAGAGGAAGAAGACGACGAAGAAGGAGGTGGTGGATGAATAGTTGCTTAATATGTGGTAGATAAAGAGAAAAAAGTCTGATTTCTGGAAGTAAATGAATCATTTTATTAAAAGGAAGCTGCATTTTTAAACAATATTTCCAAGACTCAATAATAAAGACGCTTCTGGTAAGTGATCTGTTTGAGATGCAGGAAGGTCACAAGATCCTCATTTCAGTAACATCAGCTCTTCAGTGAAAATGAAAGTAAACTGCGCTGACACATCATCTGATTAATACAACTAGTGAGATTTGACAGAAATGTGCCTACTTCGCGTATAGGATGCGTCTGTACTGTGTAACTTATCTGTGTTCATTTAATACATGCTCCGGACAGAACTTCGTGCCATTTCAAAACGTGCTGCTTTTTTTAACAGTGGAGCGATAATTATGCGCAATAGCGTGCCAAGGTGTGAACACTTTATTGAATGTTTTGAGCACGGAGATGAGATATTTGCATCTGCCATCACACAGGGCCTGTCCTAATATCCACACTTGCTGTCTTTGCACTTGGCCTCTTGTCTACGTAAATGATGTGTTTCCTGTATTTGGCCCAAGTGTTTGAGTGGGCGTGAAGACCGCAAGTGGGTAACTATTTTTAGTGGTGTAAAGATGCAAGTAACGTTTTTACAGTGCTTTATTTACACATTTTGATTTTCTATACTTTGCACATTAAAATGTCTTGTTTAGAAGTCCTTATGTAACAGAAGACACAATTAATTTAGATGTTTCTAATTAAGTGATAAAAAAAACGTTCTGCAAAAATACAATGTGCAAACACTGTGCTTTACTGCCAAATTATATGTAATATCTAATTAATTTAACTTACACTAAAAAAGTCTTGACATCTCACAATTTCAGGCCACATGAGTTCCTTAAAGCGATGAATGATGGCATACGTTTAGCCTTAAATACTTCGATGCAGTATTAGAGATGGTGTGTATTTAGTATGTGTCAAGGGCACTGAGTTTTGGCAGTTTTCAGAACTGGGGCAGTCTTATTTCCTATTGTGTACATGCGTTCATGTAGCGAAGACTGCGTTTATGAGTATTGGTGGGACAGGCCCATATTTTCATCTGAACAGCTTCATTTACTGTATTTTTATTTATTTATTTTTTTTAGTTGAAAGTTCATAAGTAAAATAAATCAGTTCTTTAAAACCCCCTAGATTTAGTATAATACTATTTGTATTGTGTTTCTTTTGCAGGTAAATGTGAGAAGATGGTATTAAAAGAGATTCCAACAGACAATATCACTCGCCCTTTGGGCCGGAATGAGGTCATAGGTTTACTCTTCCGCCTCACAATATTTGGTGCTGTCACTTATTTTACAATAAAGTGGATGGTTGATGCTATTGATCCAACAAGAAAACAGAAAGTCGAGGCACAAAAACAGGTATGCAGTTTAATTTCAGGGAAATATAAATGTGTGCGATTTCCAGACATGGAAAAGCAATGCAGTGTAACTGTTTAGATGCGGGTCCAAGTTTTAAGTATAATTTAACTGCAGGTTTATAACTTTTTACAATCCTTAGCATCACCAAAGGCTGGAGTTTAATCATGTGAAGTTTCGTTGCCCCCTCACAGGCAGAGAAACTCATGCGGCAGATTGGAGTGCAGAATGTGAAGCTTTCTGAATATGAGATGAGTATTGCTGCTCATCTTGTGGATCCGTTGACTATGCAGGTGAGGAATGATGTCACCATCTGACTTTATTTACCAGTAGTTATTTGTCTCTAAAACAGTCTACCTTTGTTTTGTTAACCCTTTAGAACCTGAAGCTAAAATGGGTGTTTTTCACACATTTAGATTTTTTGACTGTAAAATTCTAAAATAATGTGCTATCTTCATGTGCATGGTGTCATCTTTTTCAGAAAAAGATTAGCTTTCAACAAATTACAGTTATTGACCATTATTGTGTGTGGTGAGTTTGTAAATAGAATTTAAATAGACAAAAAAATTAAAAAACGAGAATACTTTTTCTGATTTTTATTTAGATAAAAACTGAAAAATAACAAACGAAAGGAACTAACACTTTAAAGTTGAAAAATGAAGTATAATACATCAGATACAGGTCTTTTTTGTGACATTGGGTTGCACAGTTTTCATTTAGGACACTTTTTTTCATACACGCACACATTCATTCATAGGTACACACACATGCACATGCATATACCACATGTAAAGATACGTGAAAGAGTAACGGCCATCCGCCTCCCAAGTTTCATAAAAAATCATCCCAATCCCCTCTTCTGCTGTCTACCACTTCTTTCGCGATGTATTTGTTAGTTTCTTTTACTATTTTATGCAATCCAAAACACTCTAACCTGCTGCGCTTCGTATCTCTCTGTTCAAATCCTTCCTTCCCGCTCTGCCAGAAAGCTGCTGTCATTTGCTGACGGAATTACCGTAATAAGCCGTATTATTGCCGAAAAGCGCATGTTGTCTACTAGGGGTGGAACGGTACACAGAAGTCACAGTTCGGTTCATACCTCGGTTCAGACGTCACGGTTCGGTACGATTTCGGTACAATGGAGTGAAAAGCAAAACAAAAATGCAGAAGGCATTTTTATAAATGTCTTAAGCCTTGTATTTTTTAAATAAGTTTTATTAATAAAGGCATAGAACCAGTTTATTTGTAGTGCACTGACAGTATAATTAGTTTATTAATTAAATTATTAAAAAGACGAAAAAACCTTGAGATATGTTTGGTAATTGTACCTGAATGAATTTAAAATTAATTTGCTATTTCAGATCAATATATTTGTTTTCCTTCATTTTAATTAACCCTATTCTCATCTGAATTATAAATAATTGATTTCCGTATAAAATAATACTACCATTAAAAACTTTTGTTAACAGTTGTAGGTTAGCCTACAGTTTGACAAGAGTTTAGAGTGTGACAAAAGCACAATGTTGTGTTTTATTGCGAGTGTACACAAATATAAGTAAACACTTTGCAGGTTTAATGATCTGTATGAACAAAATGACGGAGTATGTTTTTATGTTTCCACTGTTCATCGCCCGTGCCTCACACACACACACACACTGTTCGATCGCGCGATTCGCGCCCGCGCCTCTCTCTCTCGCACGCGCGCACACACACACACTGTTCGATTGCGCGATTCGCGCCCGCGCCTCTCTCTCTCTCTCTCGCACACACACACACACTCCAGCATTGCAATCTTGATCGCAGCCTGTTCATTGCTGCGTTCACAGTCACACCAAAAGCGAATAGAGCGGAATTAATCGCTATTTAAGAGTTTTTTTTTTTTTTTGTACCGTGTATTCTCCGTGCAAATTCGTGCACCGAACCGTGACGCCCGTACCGTTTCGGTTCAATACGAATACATGTACCGTTCCACCCCTATTGTCTACTGTCAGGGGCAATTTGAATGGTTTTGATAGTGCGAACGGTTGAAGAGTTACGGTACAATGAATACAGCTTGCTGGTCTGTGTCGGCGACGACACAGCCGGTTCTAAAGGGTTAAGAGAATGCAAGTTACACAAGTCATTGTAACACATTGTAACACGTTACATTGTTACACAAATCATTTGTGTGTCCACAGATTACATGGCATGACATTGCAGGTCTGGATGAAGTCATAACTGAACTGAAAGACACTGTTATACTTCCGATCCAGAAGAGACATCTGTTTGAAGGATCCAGACTTCTTCAACCTCCCAAAGGCAGGCACTAGGATGAAAATGTTTCTATAAAGTGTTTCTAAGCTCAACTCCGCACTTTATTCTGAGGTGGTTTGCCTGTGATCTTCTCAGGTGTGTTGCTGTATGGGCCTCCAGGCTGTGGGAAAACTCTTATAGCCAAAGCTACCGCCAAAGAGGCTGGATTCCGCTTCATCAACCTGCAGCCTTCCACTCTCACTGACAAATGGTACGGAGAGTCCCAGAAACTAGCCGCAGCCGTGTTTTCTCTGGCCATCAAGCTACAGCCCTCTGTTATCTTCATCGATGAGATTGGTAAATGCTTGTGTTGATTTTTATGCTTTGCATTTCCTTCATCCACCCCTAATATTGACATCCCAGTAGTTATCAATGTAAGCTATGCTTTGAAAGCTAGATCTCTTTAGCTTCATGGAACATTTATGAATCACTAGAAGTCTACTTTTGAATCTAACTTGGTTCCTGTTGCTCCTTTACAATCACATAATATGGCAATAAGTGGAAGATTCTGTATAATTGTCATTTTTTTTAAAGAACTTATATTGTCTTAATGTCTTAGATTCCTTCTTGAGGAATCGCTCAAGTTCAGATCATGAGGCCACTGCCATGATGAAGGCTCAGTTCATGAGCTTATGGGACGGGCTGGAAACTGACTACAACTGCCAGGTACAAATCCGCATCTTTTGTGAGGTTTACTGGTTTGATCAGTGACTCAAGATCCAAGTCAGTTTCCTTTTCTATCTGATGTGTTGTGATTGTGTTTCACAAAGGTCATAATAATGGGAGCCACCAATCGGCCACAAGATCTTGATTCTGCTATACTCCGAAGGATGCCTACAAGATTTCACATCAATCAGCCGGTAAGTTCACTGATTTTAGCTCAAATATGTTTGATGGTTGGAAAATGAAATGTTCAGTTTCACTGTTGAATCATTAAACTCTGTAGTGATTCTTATAAATGATCATTTGTCATTTGTATACATTTAGAATATAAAGCAGAGGAAAGACATATTGAAACTGATCCTGGAGAATGAAAATGTAAGTATTTATTAATTGGACTGTTGTTGCTATTGAAAGTTGCAAATGCTGAAAGAATATTTTCTCATTTTCTGAAGGTGGAGTCTGCCGTGGACTTTGGTGAAATTGCCAAAAAGACTGACGGCTTCTCAGGAAGTGACCTCAGAGAGATGTGCCGAGATGCTGCTCTGCTTTGTGTGCGTGACTTTGTGCACCAAGAAAGGTAAACACTTAAAGAGCTTCAAAGACCTTGTCCACATTAATACATTTTCATTTGAAAACGCATTTTTTTCTCTCCGTTTTGGTTTTGGCCATCCGTCCACACTGAGATGCCGTTTTTGTCAACAAAAACTAAGCTTTTTCAAAATGCTCACCCAAGTGGATACATTTGAAGTGTTGTATTGTGGAATGGGATAACGTAGGTATTTGAAAACAATGGCATGTGTTTACTCATGTGATGCATATTGTACCCATAAATATCTATGTTTGTGCCTGCTATTCACTTTCATGTGTTGCTAAAGAATATAAATGTTCCTTTGTATAATCGACATATTACATTTCTGCAAAGATAACAAAAATTTTACTCACAACACAATTGCTGTCCTGCGGCAAAACATGAGCAATTGCGTTTTAGACCAAACATGGAATGGTGATTTTGAGTGTGACCTGGATGCATCAGAGAGTGGTGGTGGGATATTTTGCTAATTAAATAATCGTGCCAGAAGAGTAGCATGAGAGCTTTACTATGTCTGCTCTCTCTGTATCATCTTGTGAGCTTTTATTACGTTTGACCCATGCGCCGTAAGGTGATTTAAGTGCTTTCAGACGTTTCAGTGTGGATGAGCAACTTTTGGAAAACGCTAGTGTGGACAGAGCGTTATGAAATGAAAACACCGTTTTCAAACGTATCCGGAATAATGTAGACGGGCGCTACATGTACAATGTACCTCAGACTCCAAAATAGCACAGAACACAACAGGCTCTTTTTTAAATCTTTGTCTGAAGTTAAAGGCTTGTCATCTTTACATAATGGATAGAGTCAATAGTTTACATTTGAAACCGTATGAAAATCAAGCATTTTGCAGGCCTCGTCAGCCAAGCTCGCACCAGCTCTTCCTGACGTGTACCAATCCAGTTTCGACATCTATCACAGCGGCCCATTTAAATTCCCATTCCTTCAGCATTTCCTCCATAGCATCGCTGCTCGCAATCAAACTCCCTCCTCCAACCCCAACTCCACCCACCCGAACCTGTAATCAATCTGACTGTCATTTTGTTTTTCCGTACAGTTCACTACATTGCAAGCATTTTCTATCGTGTATTTGTATTTCCACAACTCATGTAATTGAGAATTGTAATCATGTATGCATATGCTGGTTCTGTTCTGTACCCCAGAGGGGTTTGACTTGCTGCTCTACACGCATCCACGGGCGTGGGAGTTTTGCCCAGAACAGAACCACACCGCTAACACTAACTGTATGCTATAATTGTAATAAATTATATTTACTTGGCGAAGTGGTCCTGACTGAACTTGCATTTGCGGTACTCTCTTATTAATTCTTTTTCCATCCCATGACAGTCCGGTGGAAGACTTCATCCGCCCAATAAGGCAGGAAGACATGCAGAGGGCAATCGAGAAGATGAAGAAGTCCAAATCTGCAGGAGTGCAAGAGGCGTTTATGCACGTACCACTGGACTGAATGTGATGCTGCTGTTTTAAAAGAACATGAAACTAAATTTGGTCTGTTTTTCTTTTTTTGTGGCATATCATGTCATGTTTTGTAAAAGGGGGAACTCAGGATTTATAAATGGTGGAATGGAGGCTTTTTTCTCTAATCATCTTTTTTTTTGCACTGTTATTTAGATATTCTGTTTTTGCCATTCAATCAATGAGCCTTATTCACACACAAAAATAGAGTAAACCACTCTTAAGTAAATGGTCACATTTGAGTCAATGGGACAGTTTATGAAAGATTGAACGATTTACATAAAACTCATTCTGCTTGTGTTACAAGAATGAGGTCCATTGTGTTTGTCTTTATAGGTTTGGTTTGGGTGGTGTTTGTTCTTTATGAAGATGGGCAACAGTGTAGTTACTATTTCCAGTTATGCATAAGGCACATAATTTCCCCTGCAAGAATTATTTTTTATATCAACGGTATGTAACAATTTAGCTGATCTGTAAGAAGTGTGTTTAGTAACAATTTTAACAACTCTCATCTGTTTGTTTTGCCCCAGTGATTGAATGATTTAAATTATAAATGCATAGACTTGTTGGCCTTTTACATTGAATAAAATGTTTAAGTGTTAAATTTAGCCCAGATTAGAGAGAGTGCGATGGCCTGTTGTATAATTATTTATTTGTGAAACATTAAATATACTTCCACAAAATATTTAGGGCAAGTGACAAGGCACTGCTGTTGTTATTTCTGGGGTTTGAATGGGCAACGGATCATTTAATAAGTGGAAAGAAACCGTTTTCTTCTGGAGAAACGGTTATGGATTGATGCACCATTTTAGAATGCTGGCAATACAATGAACAATTTTACTGTATTCAAGGAACAATTGTATACTAGTATTTTTCAGTTATTAGGTTTCTTAATCCACAATAGTCCATTGCTCTATCCAATTTAAATGTGTTTTGAAGTCAGAATATATTTAAAATGTTTTGTTTACAGTGTACAATAATTGGATGACCATCCTGTTCTTTTAATTACGTTTATTGGAATTACTGCCCGATGCACACTGTATCAAATATTGTAAGAAATTACAAAGTGTAAATCTCGCAAGTCCATACATTTCCTGTAAGACAATAAATATGTTTAGGTTGGTCCAATAACAAAATGGCAAGACAATAAATATGCTCTTGTTCCTTCACATTGGATTCCTCAAGAGTTTCATGTTTTTGCATTCAGCACAAATCTTTCACATTCATACATCACTCTTTACAGTAACTTGTTCATTTGGGAATATAACAGTAATGCCACTTTTACATTAATGCACATGGAAGTACAAAGAGATTTAAGTGCAAGACAATACTGTGGTTATACTCTACTGCCAGTACTGAATGTTTTTAAATTCTTACAAAGCATGTTAAAGAATTAAAATAGAACCTGTGTATACAATGAGAACAAGACGTTCTCTACTGGTGGAAATACTGCCAAGACAAGCACTTATCCGAATCAAATTCCAGTTGAGGTAGGCAAAATATTGGTCCCATTACTGTCAGGTATACTTTGATCAGACTATGTATATAACACATTTGAAACAGCAGTAGCTGTGTAGTTTGATCCATCTATGCTTTTATACTGGGTGATCTCAGGAACAAAATATACTGTATTTTAAAGAAATTTGCAGGGGATACATATAGATAGCATTTATCTAAAAATGTGGTACATTCTAATAAACATGTATTTATTTTAAAAAAAAATCTCACTACAAATTAGGATTGTAGTATATAATGCACCTTTCTATAAACTTGACTGTATGTCTTGTGTTCACTGGTCCTTCTGCAGAGAACTATAGTATTCAACTAGGACTTTCCACGCTTTGGGGGCCATGAAACCATCAGGGGGGTTCTCTCCGCTGCGGGCAAGGCTCCTCATTTTGGTCCCTGAGATGAACTCAAATTCACCATGTCTGAAAAAACAGAAAAGTTGTTGACTTGAGCTGCAGCTGTATATACAAATGTCTATAAATATCGATACTGCAGTGATTTTAATACTTATTCTGATGAACAATAATGCACAAATAAAGTTCAAAATGAATGAAACGGAGAGCAGTTAAGCGACATGACAGAGGTATATTATTAGATGTCACTTTAAATAAACTATTTAAACTAAAATAAAGCTAAATGCGACAGTTTTTATAATGGGTGATGACTGAGTAACATTTTATTTTACAGTGTCTTTGCTACATGTTACATGCACTTGCTATAATAGTATATTATGTTATAAATCCAGAGTATATTATGCATAAATACAAGTAACTAATTAATTAATTGTTGTTAATTAATTTTACTCCGTACTTAAATGTATAATTACAATGTGAAACCAAATATTATTGTAGGTTAAATTACAGTTGTTATAAGATTGATCATGTTCTGTAATTATTGTTTAAAAATGACAAACAGAGCAGACAGAATTAAAAATTAATTTAAAAATTATGGCTTGCAATACCAATATATTTAAATTTAAAAAGCTGTGCATTAAAAATTATTTAAAATATACTTCATCTTGATTCTACATTAATTTGGGGGTTCAATGTATAATATATTTATTATGGCAAACTATTCACAGCCATAATATATAATATAATATAATAATATTAAAATAAAATATGTACGCACCTTTCCTTGTCATAGAAGTCCATGGCCTTCTTAACTCTGTTGTATGCAGCAACTCTGAAGGGAATAATCTCAAGAGAGGTGAGGCCTGGTGCCATGGTCAGCACTTTCCCACCATGTGTGGGCTCATACAGGTCCTTCTTTGTCTCCGGGTGGGGCATACCTGCTGGATCTCGCCCTACAATGTAAAAGTTGGCACCCGCGATCATCCTGGCCCGACAATGCCACTGTACCTATAAGAACATTTCGAATTGTTGCCCTGTTTAGAATTGACTTGACTCACAAATTAAATTATTTGTATTGAAAAAGGTCTTATTAAACAGCCTCTTATTGGTTTCAGTGTAACATGCTCAGGAAGAGTCTGACCTCTGTAGGCCCAGCATACATCATGGGTGAGGGGAAAATGGCCACAATTGTGTTTTCTGGATCCAGGACTCCTTCCTCTAGCACAGCAGCATGCTGTCTCATGCGCCAGTCCAGCGGGACGTCGTCCTCTTTTGTCCAGCCACCCAGAGGGTGCAGAAGCAGCACGGGCTTCTTGTAGCCTCGCTCGAGCAGACGGCGCTTAGTGTCCTGCATCAGGAGCGCATGGCCATTGTGCACAGGATTACGCAGCTGGAATGCAAAAATGGCATCTGTGGGGAAAAGACACAATTGCAGAGGGTTTTGTCGCACTAGCAAATACTTATGGGAAGAAACCATGTTTCGCTTTTACCTGCTCTCATTTCTTTAAATTTCTGTCTTAGTTCACGTGGAGTGAGACGGTACTGGTCAAGACCGTCATTCCACCTAAGTCTCTCAAACACCTCCAGGTCTCCACCAGCCAGCCAATCACCACTCTCCATTACCATCTGTACAAAGGATAAATGGTGTCATTTGATTGGCTGACTGTACTAGGAAGTATAATATGCAACTGTTTTAAGCAATGTCACAGAGATGTGTCCTCTCACCTTAATGTACGGATGTTGCGGGCATGTTGTCCCCCACTGCCTTGCACATCTCTCTTCCTTACGATGCTCATAAAACTCAGGGTTGCGCATGATTGCCACTTTTTGACCTTTGAACTCCAGGGCAAAAGCAGTGTAACCGTCCAGCCTCTCCTTGTCGTCCTTGGATACAGGCAGCACAATGGGAACAGACAAGTTGATGATCCCACCTAAACATAAAAGATTATTAATATTACTATTTTTATTTTTAACAATAATATTATTATTATTATTATTTAATGTTATGTTGGATATTATTACATTAACTAAATATGCAAACTGAATAACTAGGTAAATGTAAATTATTCAATATTACTAATTAGATGTATATTATTATTAAATTAATCTTCAATATTAAATAAACTACCGTTCAAAAGTTTTCGATCGGAAAGATTTTTTGTTTTTGAAAGAAGCCTCATGGTCACTGAGGCTGTATTTATTTAAACAAAAATACAGTAAAAACAGTAATATTGTGAAGTATTACAGTTTTTCTGAATTGCTAAAACACTAAATACCATTCTATACCACACTATAAAATATGTATATGTATATATAATATAAATTATGTATAAATATATATACAGGCAAATATTTCCTAAATATATAAATGCGTATGTGTGTATTTATATAAACAATATAGTTATACACGGTACACACACATTATGTAAACACAAACTTTTATTTTGGATGCGATTAATTGCGGTCAATCGTTGCACAGCCCTAATTTATTTAAAATAGAAATAATTTTGTAATATTATAAATGTCTTAAAAGTAAGTTTATGTAAGTAAGTATGTGTGTGTTTGTGTGCATTGTATAAATGTACATATTCACACGCACACACACACAAACGTGTAAATATGTCAATTAAAAACATTTCTTTGAAATACAGTAGAGACACTTTAAAACTATACATTTTTGAGGGTGATGATTAGTTTGAAAATGTCTTTACCATCAAGCAAAGTTCCAAAGTGCAAGACTTGCAGGAATTCTCTCTCCCTCATGAATCCCCTCAGTGGAGTCGCCCACCCCTCAGCCAGAACCTGCACCCACTGCAAATCCAGCTACAAGACCAACGAGAAACACACAAACAGCACTTTCCTTTTATCTCATGACAAGAACCACAGTTTGCCACAAAATACCAACTATGAATTACGACAGTTCATTTTTTTCTACAGTAGTTATTTCAGTAGCTCTTGCAGAACGTAAATTATGCAGTAGATTTGGGTTTGCAAACACCAAGTTACAGTGAAAAGCTCTCAGTTAACTGAACTGTGAGGAAATGCCTGTGGTGTAACAAGCAGGGCAGTTGATTTCCACAGCAGTAGTAGGGCATGTGTGTGTTCACGAAGGGTTGCATTACCTCCGTGATGGTTACAGTGGGGAGTATATTGGCATCACTCAGCACCAGGTCCAGCTTGTTTTCAGGAACAAAGAGCTCATTCACTTCCTCTGTCACACCAGTGGGAACAATATCCTGTGAGAACAAATCATCTGGTCAGTGGCGTTTTAACGTCTCTCAAGAGAATACTGACAGTCTGTCAGCTGGCACAAAGAAAGGGACAACTGACAAAACACATTATCTATTTAATGACCTGAAATTAAAGACTGACCCACCTGTTCCTTCAAGAGATCCACTAGCTGAAGAATGCAGTCATTGACAGTGAGCTCTCCAGTCTTCAACACAAGCTCAGGGGCTTCAGGTTTCTCATAGTCAGAGTCTATTCCTGTAAAACCTACATGAAGCAAAATGTAGTTGAAACATTTTCTAGATACTCTCAATTTAATCACATTATTGGCAAATGATTACTCCGAATTAATAAAGGGATAGTTCACCCAAAAACTAAATTCTGTCATCATTTACTCACCCTCAAGTGGTTCCAAACCTGTATGAATTTTATTCTTCTGCTGAACACAAAAGATGATATGTTGAAGAATATGAGTAACCAAACATGTGATGGGCCCCATTGATTTCCATATTATAGAAAAAAAAATTTATGGAAGTCAATGGGACACATCAACTGTTCAGTAACAGACGTTCTTCAAAATATCTTCTTTTATGTTCAGCAGAAGAAAGAAATTCATACAGGTTTGTAAATGATGATAGAATTTTCATTGTTGGGTGAACTATCCCTTTCAGTCCCAACAAAATATATAACTGTGTAATGTTTTCAATGTTAAAATATTTTCTTCTATCCAAGATAAATGTGACGAGACAGCTATAACCCATGTATTTATAGATTTATTTTCCTGAAAAAAATCTTCAAAATACCTTTAATCTCTCCAGCACGGGCCTTTTTATAAAGTCCTTTGACATCTCTGCTCTCACACACCTCCAGTGAGGCATTTATAAACACCTCAAAGAATGGCAGACCCGCAGTCTCATGAATCTTCCTGGCATCGTTTCGATCCTGTTGTGAGAACACGTAAAATCATCCTCTTAATGCATCATGTTGCAGAAATTATTAAAAATTTTCATGTAATTTGGGAACCTCGGATATCACTAAATATCACCAAACCTTTGTAAATGGAGAAATGAAACTAGTGATGCAAACCAGTCCGGCATCCGCAAACAGTTTGGCGACCTCAGCAATACGTCGAATGTTCTCTTCTCTGTCTGTGGCTGTGAAGCCCAAGTTCTTATTCAAGCCATGTCGAATGTTGTCACCGTCGAGCGAGTAGCAAGGAATGGCATGGGAAACTAGATATTCCTCCAAAGCAAATCCAATCGTAGTCTTTCCAGCACCAGACAACCCTGTGGCGAAAAAATGTAGAACTAAGCAACCCTCAACTCACATAAATACACTTTTATTGTATGGAGAAAAAAATATGCAATATTTTATGTGAATAGTAACTGAGATCATTCAACCTAACATCTCTGTTCCAGAAGAAAGGAAGTCATACAGGTCTGAACATGAGGAGGAGTTAATGATGAATTTTCATTTTTGAGTGAACTATCCTTTTAATTTGATCCATCTAATTTTCTCCTGGAAGTCTCACAGGAGAAATTCCCACCTGTCAGCCAAACAGTACATCCACGAAATCCAGCTCGGGTCCCAACCACTTGGCCACGCTTGCTTCTACTCACATGGTGAGCCTGATAAACAACATTGGTTGCTCTCTGCATGTCCTAAAGTGGATATACACGATATACATGATGTGAAAAGTAAGATTGAGAACAAATTGCAAATCTGAGCCTAAAGCACTATTTCCATCTTTACTGATAACGACAGTGCGTTTCTATAGGGACAATGGGTCAGATTCACAAAAGTGTTTATAGGGATAGTAAACCCATAATACAAATTCTGTCATCATTTACTCACCTTCATGCCATTACAAACCTAAAAGAAAATATTTTTTGAGAAATGTATCAATGTTTTTTGTCCATACAATAGAAGTCAATGGTCACCAAAACTGTTAGGTTACCAATATTCTTCAAAATATTTTTTTACATTCAGGTTTGGAACAACATGAGGGTAAGTAAATTATGAAATAATGTTTATTTTTGAACAAGTGGTCCCTTTAATTTTAACTTCTATTATTAAATTTTAACTTCAAACTTCAGGACTGAGGAGGGAGTGGCTTCGGAAAGAGAAATGAAGAAACAAAAAGGGCCATTCATGCAGGACCATGGAGAGGAGGCCAGTTGAACCAGAGCCATCTCTCTCTCTCCCTCTCTCTACCCAGGCTCCTTGGATACATAGGAAATCCCAGCTTGATGCAAGTAACCCTGGGGTTTTGGTACACAGTGTCCCTTTGACTGAGGATATGCTAAATCTGGCTTCAACTGTTACAAATAACATTAATCTTACATGGGATTTGTGTGGTTATATTGCAGAACCAGAAAACACTTTATACAGCATAGTGGAATGCATAGTTCTGTCATGTAAAACAGAGACAGACATTCTAGTATAAAAGAAGTGACCCCTAACAAAAAACCTAACATAACATCAGCCATTCAAATTAATTCAAGTCCAATGCCAAATCTAGACAAGTTGATGAAAAGGATAAACCTGAATCATATCCTGCCACATCACAAAATATTTTCAATATCCTGACGAAAGCAAACACTCGTGTTATTTTAAGTGACTGTCACTCCATATTTATCCAAGTTCCCTAAGTTACACGGATCAGTCGAGCAACTCTTAATTTGTGTGAATGTAGCCTACAGCCTTTCAAAATAAACTGGGTTTTTTTTAACTAATACTGGTAATACAAAATACTTCTGGTATGTTTTTAAAGTCTGTTGAAATTTCTTAGTTCGTATCGAAGCAACTTTTAAAAGTTTACGGAGAAAGAAACAAAAGAAAGAAAAAGGCTGAACTTCAGCAAACGTACCGTTCTCTGTTTTTTCAACCCAGACATGATGTCACAACGCGAACACGCTGGTCAGAGCTTTCTAAAAAATGTGACCCTTTAGGGACTAACACAGAATAAAAGAAAGTGAAGTTAGTGGAAGTCAGGATAAACTGGACACGTAGCACTCAGGGTTCTTCCTGAAACCCTCCCACACATCAGCGTGCGCTGCTCACGTCACCATCACGACTACACACACACACTGATTACACTGATTCTCAGTTACTACCAAGATCTCTCTCAGGGCACACAGAGAGTAATACAACACAGATACATGAAGGGGGGGGGGGGGATTATTACTGTTGCTCTGATCTGGGGTTGACAACTTCCATCTCAATCTCAGCCAACCCACATGGACCCACTAAGAAAAGAAAAACTTGAATAACATTAACATTATTTACAAAAACAATGCACCACATTAACCACACCAGAGCAGCATGAATAATCATGTTAAACCTTTCTCTCTCTTTTTAAAATTCATTTTTACTTTTCATTTTTTGTTCAGAAAGTATAAGCTAGGATCAGGTAATCCATCTTACTTTTGTGCTTGTTTTGATTGAATTGGATCAAGATAAAAACTACTCCAGATCACCAAATCCAGATTACCTTTAAATTAGACTACAGCTACTTACTATGAAGAACTACCGGTAGAATAGCCAGTGCTTGGGTCACTGTGTTTTGATTTTAAGAGACAGAAAACAGCATAATAAAAGAATACAAGCATCCCCGTCCATTTAAAAAATGTTTTCAGTCAGATCCCTCATCTGTCCCACAACAAATAAACAATAGAAAACAAAAGCATTTAACAACTAATATATAATTATTGACAGTTAAAATTAAATATATTGCTTTTGTTTGACATTGAGCTGTTTGAGGGTTTATTTTATGAGGACAAAATAATTACTTTTACTTCAATGTATTGAAAGGCTTTATAGCTGAAGAATCTGATGATCTGTTTCAGTAGCAAAATCTGTTTCAGAGAAAAACCATAAAAAATGAAGAAAAACAACACAATTGTTCTATTTTGTTTCATTTCATGCTATCATGTATAATTATTAATCATTTATGTAGTTTATAATTTGATTACTTATTCAATTTTTAATTGAATAATTTATTAATTTCTTTAATTTTATTGTATTTTTAGATGATTGTGGGGTTTCATGGAATGTTTGTCTTCATGAATAAGAGACTAGAGGGACTATCACAATTTCTAGGTTTTATGGGATGTTGTGAAGCAGTTTGGTGGTTGTATTTTTGCTGGTCAGACAAAGTCATTGTAATGGTTAAATAAATCAAGTGCAAAACATAAATGTTTTTTCAAAAGTTTTATTTCTTTTGCTCCTGAAATAATAATAATAATAATAATTCATCACATTTATATAGCGCTTTTCTGGACACTCAAAGCGCTTCACATAGTTTATTTATAAATGCACAATTTATATCTCCTCAACCACCACCAATGTGCAGCATCCACCTGGATGATGCGACGGCAGCCATATTGCGCCAGAACGCCCACCACACACCAGCTTACAGGTGGAGAGGAGACATAGTGATGAAGCCAATTGGTATATATATACATACATGGGGATGATTAGGAGGCCATGATGGACAGAGGCCACTGGGCAAATTTGGCCAGGATGCCAGGGTTACTTACACCCCTACTCTTTCGAAAGACATCCTGGGATTTTTTGTGACCACAGAGAGTCAGGACCTCGGTTTAACGTCTCATCCGAAGGAAATCCTCCCTTCTGCTGGGCCCAGTTATTCAAAAGTAATCTGGTCAGGTTTCGTTTATCCGATTGGATCAAATCTTAAAAATAAACTCAAAAGAAAAGAAAAAAAGGATTCTGAAATCAAATTAGATCACAAAATGCAATCTTGTTTCCCTTTTTTTTGGATCAAACAATCAGTATGTGTTGTTCAAAACCTTTTATAAGATTGGGATAACTTTGATTTTTTTCATTTATATATTTTATTTTACCCTTGATTAATGTAACTGTTACAGTAATGAAGTAGAAGTACATTAGGACTATTAAGCCTTTCAGTACTTTAAATTAAAAGAGATTTGGCACCATAAAATAATCCACAAAACAGCTGTCAATAGCTGTTTTTTAATCACTTTATATAAACTACATTGGCACAATCATCAGAGTTGAACCAGTCAAACGTAGTTTCTATTAATTGCATCCCTTATTGCATGTATATTTGTTTGTTTTTGTTGCTCATTGCAAGTTTTCAAAAACCGCAACAAAAGTAAAATGGATTACCTGATCCTGGATAGCAATAAATGGGATAATTCTGATTCGGATTAAACTTTCTTGACAACTGGACCCTGGAATCAGGATAATCCTGATATTACTAAAAAGTTGTTAACAACACATAATGAAGGTTTGATCCAGATCATAACCAAGACTAGATTATGTGATGGAATCCAATTTCAGAATCCTTTTTTTTTTTTTGCAAGCCATTTTCAAGATTTGTATAACCTGATAGCCGGAATGACTTCTATAAAAACCAAACCGTTTAATTAAAATAAAAAAATACAAAATTACAAATTATTTGGCACTGCATTTCTTTAGTACTTTGGCAAATAAAACAAGAAAGAACACAGAAATCACTCTTAAAGCACAAATGTACACCCCTTGGTAATTTGGTAGCCTGTATAATAAATAAAACAATATTTGGATTTCCAACCACAGTATGAAAATAATAATAGAATCAAAAGTGAAGATACAGTCATTGCAAGTGCACAGTAATTGATCCCTGTAATCCACTATTTAATAACCTGACTCACAATTCAGTGTTCCTGAGGTTTGGTTGAGGCACATCACATTCCTTATTAAAATCACAGCCACGAAGAAGCTTTGAGTAATGCTTTCTGACTGTTTCATACAGTGGAGCCGAATGATTCATGCTGGGAAAAGTCATGGGCTTCTCATTGAGAAACAACTGTACTCTAAGTCCATCACTACATTCATACAGGACAAAGACTAAGTTCGCAGCATAAGGTACAATCTGACTAGAGCGGAACATGCGATTGTGCTGCGAAGAAAAATTCTCTGCAGTTAGAGGTTTCTCATCCTTGAAAAAGGCCAACAGAGAGAGCAGAGGCAGCAGGGTCTCACCATGACCAACCTGGATAGTGGCAGTCTCTTTTACCTCTCCAAATCTGTCAGATTACAGGAGACACAAGTGAACACAAAAACATCTTTAGCATGTTTTATGGAGTATTGTAAGTGGACAAATACACCATAACTGACTGAGAACAGGTCCACATCTTAATCTCCTTACTTGTAGTCATTAGCAGCCTTATCAAGACGCTTGAAAATATCATGAAAGAGAGGGCAGCTGGATTTACGGTTGATGTCATGTCCGTATCCCCTCTTCCAGTACTGTTTCAGGTCATTTTTATACTCCAGGACCTAACAAGAGGCCAAAAACATGTTACTGAAAAAGAGAAACATGCGTTTGGTCGCCAAGGTAAATCCAGTTGTGAAACAGTGAATCAGGGCACTGATTACAGTACGTAATTACTAGACATTCTACGACCCACAAACACCACAGCTGACATGGAATTACACTTTGAATCCTAATACCATTCATTAAATCCACTGAAAATGGAAGTTTTCAATTTTCAACCAACATACGTACTTGAGCGTCAGACTCATCCAGCAGATCGCACCACGGAGAGTTCTCTGACTTGATGGCAAACTCATAGGAGCACAAAAAGAAAGCTGCCTCTGCCATATCTTGGAAGAAAATTTTAATCAAAAATTGTAATCAATATCAGGAAGGATCTATGTTATTGACTATTTTAGTCTGCAGATTAACATTAAGCAACTTCAGTGAACAGTAAGATAAAACTGTACACCGTAATTTAAAAAGCAAAATTACCTGGGGTGATTTGATTGAATGGAATCTGAAGGCGGTTGGATATTTTCTTCCGTACTGCATCCATTTCTGCCGAATATTTAAAGCGCTCTACCTCCTTCAAAGCTGTTTTATTGTTCTCAACACCTTCAACAAATCTCTCACAATGATCAAAGAATCTCATGAGTGAATCATCCACATAGTGTTTGTAATCCATATCTATAAAACAAGAAGTATGGTTAGCTGAATAACAGTTGAATGATTAAGGACCACTACTTCAACAATAAAGCTTGCTGGATCATTAACCACAGCTGGTGGAGAGTTGTTTACATAGTAGTTGCAGATAACAACAGACACTTTATGGCAGATGTGCTGAGGAAAGAATTCCCTCATTGTGTTTCAGTGTCTTTAAATGCCAGCTGTTTGGCCTAAAGTTGCTGTAGTTTAGAATTCAGATACCTGTCTTTGTTTCCTATCAAAATGGAGCTAGAAATTTGATCCCAATGAATAAAAAAAAAATCAAAATCAAATTTTAAGGGGATCTTATTTAATTCTGGAAATAGACAATGTGGGGTTTTAAAAATGTACAACTATCAAACGCCATGTAAATTTTAAATGTCCCCAATGCAAATGTTTGTTATAATCTGAGCTTCAGCTTTGAAATAGGACATAACGCCTGTGTGGTATATCATGGAATCCTGGCAAACTTGGGATATTGGGGGTTCGTGAAACACAGTATATAAGAGAAGTTAAAAGCATAGTTATTCTGTCATGTCTCACCCTCATGTCATTCCAAACCTGTATGATTTTATTTTTTCTGTGGGACATAAAAGAAGATATTTATTATGTCTCAGTGTTTTTTCTGTCCATACAATTTAAGTCAATGGTCACCAAAACGGGTTATGTGTGTTCCACAGAAGAAGAAGGCATACAGGTTTGGAATGATATGAGGGGGATAAGAGAATTTTCATTTTTGGATGAACTTTTCATGAACAATGTTTGAGAAGCCAACAAAACAGCTAGTAAAGAAGGACATAAGCTTACCCTGAACATCCCAGAGTCTGTGAAGACCCTCTTGGAAAGCTTTAACACTATCAATACAGCGGTGCTTGGAGCTGGTGATGAACTCAATGCGGTTGGCGCGGAGGAGATCCTCGGAAATCAAGGTGGGGAATGACTGTGCCAGTCTCATCGCCAAATGCCTGTGGTCATCTCGCCCTTTATCCACTAGTCTGCCGTCCATGTCTTCAGTGTACCACATCTTCCATGTTTTAATGTTATTAAGCCAAGACTCTGAACCCGATGCGTCAGACACGACGAGATCAAACAGTCGCGCAATCTTTTGCACATTTTTTGTGGTTGGATAGCGTGTCCCGTGACGTATCACCGACACCATATGAATGGCACGGTAATCTGGAGAGGGGGGAACCAGTAGCGATCTGTTTACAAACAAAATGTCATCTAATAGATGTGGATTCACTTCCTCGTACCTGCCTTTTGTCCCAAAGTAATGCGCTATCGCCGGTATCGTTGGCCTGGCGAGTTTAGAGAATGACAAACCAACCATAACGCTCAAAGAAGTGATGAGAAAGTTAATGAGGAAATAAGTTATTTTCATTTCTGGATGTGTGATACCTGTTCCACCGAAAATACCCGTAGCCTGCTCACCTGTGCTTTTCACCGCGGAAATCATGCGCTCTCCCGACTATGATGACGCGCCCTACATGTGAAGCCAGCCTCAAAAACGAGATACAAAACCTTCCGGGTTAAAACACAGCAGATTCAGGTAAATAATACACCACTGGTAGTATGAAGAAAGCATGTAATAATTGTTTCATTTCAAAAGGAGTATACAATGCAACATTTGGGAACTGTTTTAAAAGGTTTCATTAAAAAAAGAAGTGTATTGCTACACTAGATGGCGGTGTTGTGCATCACTTTAATGTAGTTTAACTGATTCAACCACACATATCTTTTTACTTAAAAATATCAAAAGCCAAAGTTTTTTTAGTCATATTTACAGGGTATGGCATAGGCTACAATTAAATCCTTGGAAATTATCGCAGAGAAAACAACAACAACAACAAGCAAAAATTAACAAACAGTGCAAACATAAATCACAGACAATTGACTAACAAAACCACATAAAAGCAGAATGCTTATGTATAAAATGTGTGCAGTGCTGTATGTACATGAATGTATAAGTTGTGTATAAAATAAGTCATGCAATTAAACGTAGAATTAAAATGTAAAAGTAACATACTAAATGAAGGGCTTCTTGAGGTAGAACAGTAGCCTACTGAAGTGCAGACTGTAAGCTGTAACTTATACAAGATGAGATATGACTGGTTAAGTTTAAAGAGTGTGAAGGAGTCATAGATTTATATGTCACAAAGAACAGTATGACTGAGCCATATTAAGGCATTGGGTTAGAACCCGTCTTTGAATCTTGATGTACATGTGCTGATGGACCCTTTACGCTTTCCAGAATCCAGTGAGAGGAGAAAAGTGATTGTGCAGGGTGACTAGAGGTCTTAGTTCTGATGTTTCCAATTTTGCTGAAACATTTTTTAGAATAAATGTCTTATTATGTATGTCCTAATATGTGTGCCTATTATCTTTTGAGCTGCTTTCACCACCACCCTCTGCACAGCTTTCTTGTCCTGCTATGCTGAGCAGATGCCGTACCAGGTTGTAATGTCTCCAATAAGAATGGATTCAAAATCACACCTGTAGAAACTGGTCATGACTGCTGTGAACATACAAGCTTTCTTCATTTCTTCATTCCGGGTGATTTATATTTATGGATTATCAGAGAGCTATACATCTGTTCACTGCAAAGATATTCCAGATGTGCATCATATAAGTATGTTGTCTTCAAGAGGTTAAACTGTTTGTTTTTTTGTTTTCAAAATATGAGATGACAAAAATATACATCAAATTTAAGCACCCATGGTGGTTTGCATTTAATGTCATCATTACACCTTGAATGAAACCAAAACAACAAGCTTATGCTGTGTTCACGTCATAACTATTGTAATTTGGAAGAGATGGAAACCTATGACGTTATACTAGGAGTGGTTTGTGACTTGAATTTATGCGTTTCAGTGCCAATACTATCAATGCCGAAATGTGCTTTGAGACATGAGGTAGTTTAACGCCGTCTCTCGTACGGAGGATTTTTCTTGTCACCTAGCAACTGTGACAGCTGCCATGGATGAGTGGCAGTAACATTTGTACTGGACTTTTTTGAGTTATAAACTGTCTAAAAGCAAAACAGGATTCACAAAGTGTCTAAATCTGTTCACCACGGTCAATTTCTGCATATAATAAAGTGTGTAAACTATATATAATCGCATCTTAGTTATAATTCTTTCTTACCATGTAGCTGTGATCACATCATTAAAGGACATTGATTTACAAGCAGGGACCAGAATCAAAACATGTGAAATGTGCACAAAATTTGTATTTAACTTAATCACAAACTCGTAACTAATCTAAACAAACACATACACACAATCACGCGTACATGGGAAAATGGAAACAGAAACCGAACAGAAACAGGGAATTTATTCAGTAAAGCTGTGGAAAAGAGTCATTTAACCATCTGAAAGAACCATAATTTTCTTACTTCAAAAGAACCATTGTTAAAGAGTTATGAAAGAGTTGGGGTTAAGGCTGTACGCCTAGAAGAGTGTGCTTTCTCCAGCACAGAGGTACAATTTTCATATCATTCTGATCCTTGCAGCCATAAACAAGATGAAACTAGGCCAGTCACTAAGGTCAAACAGTTTCAGAGACTGTTGAGTCTGTTGGCAGCAGTGTCCAACGTGATACCTTTTGGCCTGCTGTACATGAGACCCTTGCAGTGGTGGCTCAAGACCCCAGGGGGTTTTCACTAAGGGGGAACCCGTTCTGCATGATCAAGATTACGTGCAGGTATCTTTGTACCATAGTGAAGTGGAAAGAACCTTGGTTCTTGTCCCAGGGTCCCGTGCTTGGAGCTCCTTTTTATCATGTAACGCTTACGACGGATGCATCTCTCATGTGCTGGGGAGCGGTCATGGGCATTAGCATCATCTTTTTTATGGCATGTATATTGCTTGGAAGTGATGAGTGTCTTTCTAGCATTGAAACACTTGCCATGGTGCAGATGTGGCCGAGGCTTTGTCTGTATGCTTTTTTCCTTGATTGATCTTGTTGAAACTAGCCCTACTCCCTCCATGAGGCAACTATATTCCTTAAAGTGGAGAATTCTCACTTCATGGTACAGGAATTGCTAGTTGGATCCAGTTAACTGCCCGGTTGGTTCAGTGCTGGAGTTCCTTCAGGATCGCTTTTAAGCTGGGCTATCCCATCCAAGCTAAGGTATTTGTGGTGACTGACCATAGCTGCTTATCACGCACCTTGGGCGATGGATATCTTGGGAGACACCCTCTGGTATCTTGTTTCATTTATGGTGCACTGAGACCTGCTATACATGCAAGAGTTCTGGGGATTTCTCGCTCAGTAATCTTGCAGGCCTTTTACCCTCCTCCATTCGTGTCGGCGGACCAAGGGAAACTCCAGGGTCTCAGGTGCTTATGTCCTGAGCTGTGCTTGACATAATTTACACTAGGACAGGCACTTGTCAGTATGGCACAGTGGGTATTATCATTACCATTGCGTCACTACTTCCAACGCAGCATGAGTTCCCTTGAAAGGGAACGTCTCAGGTTACGAATGTAATCATTGTTCCCTTAGAAGTGAGCGAGATGCTGCATTGCCCTGCCATACTTCCTGCATACCTGTGAGCGACTTACTTCAGCCAATCAGAAGCTGAGTAAGTTTGGTCTGGGTATACTTTATAGCTTTTCCGTGGTACACTATCACACATCACAGGACGACGTTCCATCAATGAGTGAATACATTCAGACACAATCATGCAGAGGCGTTCCTGATAGTGTCGTTACTTCTGTGCAGCGTCTCGTTCCCTTCTCAGGGAACATTGATTACAGTCTTAACCTGAGACGTTCCCTTTCAATTAAAAAAAAATGAATGCTCTACACAACATTTATGTAACATCTGTACAAAGTATGTTTAAGAGTCTCATTTTCCAGACACAAAAGCTTTCTTTTCCTTTGAAAACAAGGACGATATTGGGTTATTCCAGATGGACAGTAAGAAAATTTAAGCGTTAAGGGCAGGAATAATAACTCTCATTACACATACCAATGTTTGTGTCATTTATTTATTAATTTATTTATTTAGAATAGGCTACATTGAGAATTGCACAGCTTGAGCAGAAAGAGCTGAACACAGATAAACAGCCATTGTGTGATCAATTTAGTGTCTATTCTAATGTCTTTTCTCAAATCTTGTATTGAAGGATTTTCAAATAAGAATGTTCAAATAAGAATGTACAGAACTTCCCAAACATTTACTTTAGAAGTAACTTCACTCTATCACCCTGAACACATATGTGTAGCAACAACCTTCCCTGGCCTGTCCACCAAAAGCAGGGCAACTTTGATATGCACTGTCCTGCAGAGTTACAGTTTAGAGTTGGAGCTAAACTTGAGTGGATCTCGAGGGCCAGAGCTGCACGCCCCTGATCAAAATCCTTTGGCTGAAAAATATTCAAACTCAACACTTCCCCTTAATGTCTGCATGGGTACAAAACAGTCTCTTAAAATGCTTTAAAATTAACATGATTCATTTATGAAGACTCACCATCAGATGGAGTGATTGACATCAATGATTGTCATGATTCTACAGAATAGAATAACAGAAGGCGTTTGTTATTGGATACCAAATCCGTTTGTTACCCCTTAAATTGGCGTTTGTTACCCCTTATTGGATTCGAGTCTTCATCATTTTAAACTAATTTGTCAAAAAGTGTTTTTTGGTGATCATTAGTCTCTCTTTATATAGCAGCATGGATTCTGTATTGCCTCTATCCTCAAATTGCAGACAAAGACAATATTTAAGATAACTTCCCTTATGTTAATATAAATTAATATATTTGTCTGTGCGTACCTGCACATAATTTAGAGAATAATAACACGTTAAATGATTGATCGGCTACTAATATATTTGACACATAATTGGGAGAAATTGATAATATTTTGCATCATTGTGTAACCATTTAGGAATAAAGTTTCCTTCTGCATAAATCATGTGTAATGTTTTAAAATTTCTCCTGGACATTTCACTGAAAACTGACAAACAAAACGTATAGTGTATCATTTATTTTTGACTGTGTGGAGATGCTTCCTTCTGAATTCTGTCATTCTGGGACAGAAACCGGAACCTCTGAGGCATGCATAGATCTTTTCTGCCTTGTTCGCTGGTACATGCACTGCCAAGAAAAGACCACGAAGGGAAAAAACCACGAAGGGAACCTCTGTTGAAACAGTGACAAGAAACTGCTTTGACAAGAACCACTGGGACAGAATTGGCAGGAACTTCTGGGGTGGCTGGAGCGGCCATAACAAGAAGTTCTGGGACTGTAGAGACAAGTTTGTCTGTCTACACTTTTTTTTGTTAAGTAATTACTCATTCAAAATAAGTACCTACTCAAGAGAGTATGCGTTCTCGGAATCAGCCATAGGGTGCTTCTCATTTCTTATTTGTGCATCCTCGTTTCCTTTCCTTGGGTCTTAGCCCCACCCCCTTATGCCTGCTACAGTGCGGGTAACTGT